GTACAGAGCTGGGAATGTGCATCCAATAATAGTATCTGAACGAAGAAGCATAAATAGGACATGAATCTGGATAGATGGACCTCTTTGACATTTGTATGTCAAATTGTAAAGAACAAGAAATTAGGGTTTGATTTTCCCCCCTCCCACTTGATATTTTAAGTAAAAATGTATTTCTTCTTCTACAGTGGTACCTCGGGTTAAGTACTTAATTCGTTCCAGAGGTCCGTAATTAACCTGAAACTGTTCTTAACCTGAAGCACCACTATAGAGTGCAAGGTAGCCCTGGGGGGCTGCAAGGGGAGAAGGAACTGGAAAAAGTCACCTCCCTCAAACCAGGGGTGCTCTGGATCCAACCCTATGTATGCAGAAGAGAAGTGCTTTATTTTTTTGTACATGATAAAATTCACACTTGCATATATGAGCCTGGCCCATCAATCAGCTCTGATTCCCATATAGCCTTTGACCCAATTCCCCTAAAAAGTCCCCTGCTTTTCCTAGTTAATGTAGGTAATGTCTCTGTACATTCATGCTTTGTTCTCACATACCCTCCATCATTTCTCCAATGAAAACAGGGACGTCCCATTCCATCGTGATAATTATACCCCACACATCTTATTGGGTTGCCCCAGCACTCTGGACAGCTTCCAACATATATAAAAACACAATAAAACATGAAACATTGCAAAAGCTTCCCTATACAGGATTGCCTTCAGACGGCTCGGGGGTCGGATAACTCCATATCCTCCAACATTTCTCCAATGAAAATGGGGACATTGTAAGGCAAAGCGGGACCTTCTGGGATCAAATCAGAAACTGGGACGGCTTCTCTAAGTCAGGGTTGTCCCTGGAGGGTACTGGTCTCGCCTTATCTGCACCAGGTACTCATGAGGGGGCAAGCCAGTTCAGCGGTTTTACAGCACCATGGATAGCTCCAAGTGAACAAAGGCTGGAGGTGAATTGCTGTCTGATAAGCCTCTTCCTCCTGTCCATTTTCCCAGGCTTGAACCCCTTGGCCTAAAGGTAAGAGCCAGCCCCATGGCCTGCACAAAAAAGCATTTCCTTGTTTTTCTGTGGAATCCTGTTTGTCACGCTTCCTTTACTATTGGGCAGGTGCAGTAGCATGGAAAGCACTCAATTCCTCTGGTGAGTCAGGTTTAGGGAACAACACCTGTGAGGGTCCCTGCCTCAGGTTTTGCTAACTTGGGGCAACCAGAGGCATGTCCCATTGGCTTTCAGCCTGCAGCCTTGGGATCTGTTGTCTATGAGGCACCAGCATCAGAAGCTTGCTCCAATTTACCAGTTGAATGGTACCTTTATATGCATAACGTATAAATATAGCACAAGTCTTAGGATGGCTGTGCCCCATCCACAGTATTTACATACTCATGCATCAGCTGTAGTCTCCCCACCTCCCCAATTAACTAGGATTCTAGATGTGGAAAGCTTTTGAAATGTGGAGAGCATGAAATCGCCCGGGTTCATGTTGGTGTTGTGCAATCCCAGGATCAGTGGGATTCTTGCGATTTTGAAAATCAGCGCATAGACCAAAAGGGCAGGAACATATCTCTCATCACCAGTACCCACTCACCTTTATCTACACCTGCTCTAGAAACTTCATCATTCAAAGGAAATGAAACATCTACAATAAGGCAGAATCCGAGTTAACTTTAGCCATGACCTTCAGCATTATATATATCACAACTTAGAGCTTTCTATGTGCTCTTGTAGGTGTGGCTTGTCTCATTCATTTTGATGGAGGGAGTAGACCCCCATATGCAATGCAATGCACACACTTCCTCCATTGAAATTAATGATAAGCAGGGTAGCTCCATATGTGTATTAGAACTCTGGCAACCAATAATAAATCTTTACATCAGATTGTCTGCATCTAACAAGAGGTGTATCGTATGAACAGTGTCCTGAGGAGGTCAGTAAAGAAGGTGAAGGGCTTGAAAACTAAATTCATAAGGAAAGGTTGAAGGAGTTGGGTACATTTAGCCTGCAGAATAGATGCAGTACTGTAGCCATCTTCACATAGCTGAAAAGGCTTATCACAGAGATAATTGAGATAATTTGTCTTCTGATGCAGGGCCTGAACCAATGGGTTCAAATGACAAGAAAAGGGATTTTGACTAAACAGAAGGAAGATTTCTTTAGCGATACAAGCTTAGAAGAAGGTGGACATATTCTTTAGAGTGCATTAAACAGATAGCAACCTATCAGGGATATTGCAGAACTGGATTTCCTGCATCATTAGAGTTGGAGTACAGTGGTATCTTGGGTTAAGTACTTAATTTGTTCCGGAGGTCCGTACTTAACCTGAAACTGTTCTTAACCTGAAGCACCACTTTAGCTAATGGGGCCTCCTGCTGCTGTCGCACCGCCAGAGCACGATTTCTGTTCTCATCCTGAAGCAAAGTTCTTAACCTGAAGCACTATTTCTGGGTTAGCAGAGTCTGTAACCTGAAGCGTATGTAACCTGAAGCGTATGTAACCCGAGGTACCACTGTAGATGGTCTTTTTGAAGTCCCTGCCAACTCTGCAATTCTATTATTCTAAATGGACAACTTGAATTTATTAAATTGACCCATGACTTGGATGCATGTTAAATGTTTGAATCCCCTGCAAGTATTTTGCAAAGTTGAGGAACCTTGTTGAATACGTATCTGCTTTCAAATTTCTTCTACTTTGCTTGGATGGATTAAACCAGATGTCAAGTTTTCATTTCCCCACAGGAGATTTTCATGATGTGACTGTGGAAATGTCAGAAAGTTGCCTCATTTGCACAGATAATTTATCCTGAATCTGCAAATAAGCTTTGAGGCGATGATTTAATCTAAAATGCATTACCAGTTCAAAGCGTATTAGTACATGCTTACTGAAAATGGCTTGGCATTCAGGCTTTCTTCGTCAACATTAATTGAATTAAATTACCTGCAGTGAAATCAGAACCTTTGAGGGAAAGGAGAAAGGAGAAAACAGCAAACTTTAGAAGGAAGACAAAAATAAGAGTCAAATATGTATGCATGTTTCCTTGCATTGTGACATCAAGGGACGGAAGGCAACTCTGGAGCAGGCGAACTGAAGGGTACAAACTGATTTCTGTCGGGTAAAAAAAGAAATACAGACCCAGGGAAATCACTGCTACATTGTGAGGAGAAATAGATGAGCCTTACTATCAGACAGATGGCAAGAGAGGAGAAACACCGGCAGACAAAAGCAGAGATTCAGAGGGGGAACTCAGCCTGGACATAGCGATCTCAACTCAGTAATGAGGAAGGCAAGCTTAGTTGAACACAAAAGGTGTAGCCAAGCATGAAGAGAGTGACTTGAAAGCAGACAAAGGGTGTGAGCAGAACACAACACCCTCAGAGCAAGCAACCTGAGGACCATTTCAAATTATAGCAGGGAAATGAATGGGAGGGTGGAGGCGACGTAGGAATAGAATGATATCATGTAACCCATATCTGTGTGTGTAGCTTTCAATATAGGCAGCCATGCAAACTGCAGCATGACAGCAACAGGTGGAAGCATGGGCATTGCCAGGGGGGGGGCAGTTGCCCTCCAAATCCCCCAAAAGTATTGAAAAGCATTGTTGTTGTTGTTTAGTCATTTAGTCGTGTCTGACACTTTGTGACCACATGGACCAGAGCACGCCAAGCACCCCTGTCTTCCACTGCCTCCCGCAGTTTGGTCAAACTCATGCTGGTAGCTTCGAGAACATTGTCCAACCATCTTGTCCTCTGTCATCCCCTTCTCCTTGTGCCCTCCACCTTTCCCAACATTAGGGTCTTTTCTCTTCTCATGAGGTGGCCAAAGTATTGGAGCCTCAGCTTCAGGATCTGTCCTTCCAGTGAGCACTCAGGGCTGATTTCCTTCAGAATGGAGAGGTTTGATCTTCTTGCAGTCCATGGGACTCTCAGGAGTCTCCTCCAGCACCATAATTCAAAAGCATCAATTCTTCGGCGATCAGCTTTCTTTATGTTCCAGATCTCACTTCCATACATCACTACTGGGAAAACCATAGCTTTAACTATACGGACCTTTGTTGGCAAGGTGATGTCTCTGCTTTTTAAGATGCTGTCTAGGTTTGTCATTGCTTTTCTCCCAAGAAGCAGGCATCTTTTAATTTCATGACTGCTGTCACCATCTGCAGTGATCATGGAGCCCAAGAAAGTAAAATCTCTCACTGCCTCCATTTCTTCCCCTTCTATTTGCCAGGAGGTGATGGGCCAATTAACTGAGGTTCTGCCTCCCCCAGCAGAAGCCTCCCCCCCAAACAAAAGCCTTCCCCCCATAATGTCCTCTCCCCCCCAAAAAAAAAATTGAGCTCAACAACTCACCCCCTAAACAAAAATCATGGTTGGAAGGAGCAATAAAAGCAGGCAGGCCAGCATCACATGTGGGCAGAATAAGCAAGTGGGCAGCTGGGTGGCCCAGGCAGGCATTCACATGTTCTGTGTCACCACTGCCACCAGCTGCCTGCCTCTTTGCCTGTGTGCACAACAGGGAAACCTGGGATTCAAAGAGGCAGGAGGCCCAAGGCTGCTGGCCCAGGCAGACCTACAGGCGTTCATGCACTCTCCATCACCATGGTCTCCACTGCCCACAATTCACCCCAAACTGCCCCCATCCCTTCACAGCTCCCCGCAATCTCATATATCCCTTTGCCAGTAGCAGAGGAAAGCAGAATCAGGAGGAGAAAGGCTTTCACCCTCATGGGATGGGAGGAGTGTTGGGGGGTTTGTGCGGGGTGTAAAGAATGGGGGTTTGGCAAGGGTGTGTGGAGTGGGCAGGGTTGGTGAGCAACATATTTCGTTTGACCCTTATTTTGCCGATGAAATGGAAACCCACCGTTCATATTTTTGTAAGCTGTCACCCTTAACAGTTGTTAATGAAACAGCAGCATTGTCACTGATTGATTTCTTCCTTCAGCACAACAGGCAAGATTTCAGATTTGACTGCATGTGGCCTTAAATGTGGTTCTTTTATATTTACAGGGATTAAGCATCTAAAAAACCAGAATGACACGGCCTTCCCGGAGGAGGATGAAGGAGTCAATGAAAGAGATGAGGAGTGGAGCCCGTAACTGGCTCCAAGCATCTTTGGGAAAGTCCCTCTTGTCAATAACTGAACTGCTAAACTTTCTGTACTTAACGTGGAACTCTATTGCTTGTCTTCCTGACCCAAACCCGCCTTCACCTCAGTACCCAACAGCAGGAGGATTTCGTGGTGGAATTTACAGCAATTTGCAGAATCTGCCTTGTGGTACTTCATAACTGGAGATAACAGTTTCTTCCATTTCTTTTCTAGCCATTTCCCCCTTGTATTTGTTTTTAATGACTTCAAATACGTCGTTTGCAAACATGTCAAGTCCTTTAGTGCTGTCGTTGCTTAATTTCTGAATGTGAGCTGCAGTCTAGAAGATCAGCTGTAAATATTATAAATTTGAATGCTACAAAACTGTGCTAAATAGGCAGAGCATGCCTTTGAAGGGCCCCATGACAGCCAATCAAAATAATATTGATTTGATCTTGAAAGAAAATTACAACCAAGCCTTCTTAGGTCAATATTAGCCCACTAGGGTGTGCTCACAGGGGGTCACCTGAGATTTCAACTACCTGGGGCCTCCACAGGGTTTAATCTGGCACAGCCTTCCATTTGAATCCTGTCTGGCAACAATGTCAGTGGTCTTCTGTTTGAGGATACTATTATGGACTGGGCCTTCATGAATACACTTTTAGGTTATGTGTTTTGCCTCACTGTTTTCATGCTGTTCTAATTGATCTGTGGCTTATTAATAACGGGATGCTTTTGTTGCCACTTTTCTGATCTTGTAGGCATTGAGACATCTGGCATTATTTTTTGAGGGGAAATGGAGAGGTACATATTCCATGGCCATTGAATTTGGGGGTTCCATAAGTGGCCACGCCCAAATATTTGTTATTTATTTATTGCATTTATATCACACCTCCTCTCCAAGAAGCTCACCGTGGTGCGCATAGTTTTTCTGCTCCTCCTTTAATCCCCACAACAACCTTGTGAGGTGGGTTATGCTGAGAGGCAGTGACTGGCCCAAGTCCACACCAAGCGATTTGGTTTGAGTTATTGTATTTCTATGCCGTTTTTCATTCCGATGAATCTCAAAGCGGCTTGCAAACAATAAATAACAGTAACATAATAGAACGTCGCATAAATGCAGCATAAATCAAATAAAAATAATTAACAAATCATCTGTGAGCTTTATGGCTGAGTGGGGATTATGAACCCTGGTCGACCCAAGTTCTAGTCTGACTCTCTCACCATTATACCACACTGACTCTCAATACAGTATCTGGTCCATCTGTCCTCCATAAAAGGCTATTTCCTGGACAGCTTCTCAGCCTTTTCGTTCTGAAGGAAATGTAGCATCAGCAGCCACACTCCAGGACCATCCACAAAGGAACACCAGAAGAGCCTGTCTACTGGATCAGACCAGTGGCCCATCTAGTCCAGCATTCTGTTCTCACACGGGCCAAGCAGATGTCTTATGGGGAATATGCAAGCAGGATCTGTGCACAGTAGCACTTTCCCTACTTGTGCTTCCCAGCAGCTGGCATTCAGAGACAGACTGCCTCTGACAGAGGAGATGAAGCAGAGGCCTCATGAAGCTGAACGCTGGAAGATTCAGGACAGATGAAGGACATATTCACGCAGCACATATGGAAGTGATAGCTACTAACCTTAGAGGGCTTTAAAAGGGGATTAGACAAATTTGAGGAGGAGAGGACTATCCATGGTTACTAGCTGGATGCAGTAGAGCAGGGATTCCCAAACTTGGGTCTCCAGCTATTTTTGATAAGAGATAAGAGATAGATAAGAGATGGTAGATTGATAAGAGATAAGATTAGAGGTTGTTAAGAGGTAAGAGACTGATGAGAGAAAAGAGTTAGGATATAGATATTTAAAAAACTGAAAATTTGGAGACAAAAGTTGTTGAGTTTTTTTTTGTTTTTAACCAAAGTTGTCGAGCAAAAAATTGAAGTTTTTCAGCTATTTTTAAGGGAAATCACCAAAAATGACACTGCCAACATGTCTGGATTTCCCCAGACATTTTTAGCAATTTCCACCCAGACACTGCTCCCTACTGCGGTATTCCAGCTATGTATGGGAAATTCTGGACGTGTGGCAACCCTAGATAATAGATTGGTAAGAGTTTAGATAAGAGATAGGAGATTGATAGGAGATACAAGACTGATAAGAGATCGGAGATAAGAGACTGATTGGAGAGAATTTAGGGATAGGTAAGAGATTGCTAAGTGATAAGAGATTAATAAGATAGGAGTGAAACACATCTGTTCAGAGTCACGTTTGAACACTCTGTGTGTGTGTGTGTGTGTGTGTGTGTGGTTCATCTGAACCACCCTGATGAAGACACATTGGTTGCTGGTGGAGTCAGTTCTGGGAGAGGAGGAGGCAACTTATTCCAGACAGACTGATGGAGAGAGGGGCTGTTGATGTCTCACCTTTCTTCTGCTGGTTTGAAACAGGCATCTGTGCACCTCCTGGCCCTGCTTCCCAACATCTATGCATCCAGTGATGACATCTGCAACGAAAGCCTATGTGCATACAGCTGTATTCATGTGAGCTGATCACACAACTCGGCAGCATACACACTCAGGGCTCCTGGTCACACAGAGCTCTTGGAAGAAATGGTTGGGCTCAGCACATCCATTAAGGATGGATGGGGTAAGGGCTGCAGTAGAGATTTAGGAAATATGTTTCCATTGTTTCCGTGGAATGTTAAGTATCTGCTTAAGTCTCTCCCACTGAAATCAATGGAACTTCGAAGTGTTTCACTGGGCTGGTTGGTGTATTTTCACCTTTTTGCCCTCTTTTTTTTAAAGTGTGGTTTTATAGTTTTCTTAGCAGTGAACTAGATATCTTGGTTTCTTCTTACATGCTCCCTGTGGCATAAACTCTTCTCTCCTGTGTCTCCCTAATCATGCTAATTATACTGCCATATGTCTCTCTCATATTTCTCCTCCGGTTCTAATGGGACACTGATTCCACCCTTTGAATATGTCATTTGTTTATTGCATTTATCAAGGGCTTCAGCATTATATGGGCCTTTTAATTGCTTCTCGAAACTCTTGGCAGACTTACTATTAAGAAACTGACACAGAGGTCAACAAGCAGTCATAAATATAAATAACATTTGGATTGCATATGGGTGTTTGGTTGCTGTCGCCCGCCCCCAAACTTGAAGCTTATTCTAATATATCCATGTAAGGGCTACAATATAATACATGGAGCTGTGCTGCTGCTCTCTCACCAACCTGCAGCATTCCCCCCACATTAAACCCCTAGAGTTTCCCCTTCCCACCCCATGTAACTAGTAAGCTTGCTTTTCGAACCTGGTACCTGAAGCCACCTCTTTGCTCCTCTACAGCCCTGCTTTGCACCCCTGCTTTCACCTTTACACTGTGTCCATGCCTCTCCCCACCCCTCCTTTTGCGCAACACAGCAGCCTGGATAGCTCAGTTGGTTAGAGCTTGGTGCTGATAAAGGTTGCAGGTTTGATCCCCATATGGGGCAGCTGCATATTCCTGCATTGCAGCGGGTTGGACTTGATGATCCTCAGGGCCCCTTTCCAACCTTGCAATTCTGTGATCCTTCTGGCCGAATTCCCTTGCGCACAAACCACCCACATGGCAACCCCCCTGCATCTTCCTTGCCCAGACTTTGCAACTACTAAGCCACCATCCGCTCTTCAGACACCTGCTTTCATGTTCAACCCCATTCCCATGCCACCTGCTCCCTCCTTTTTTGCAACTCCATTTTTACCTTTGCTCTTTTTTCCCCTCCGCTGTCCTTACTTTTCTCCACTCTCCCTTGCACACAGGTTACCCCATTTCCATGCCTTATCCTCTCACCTCTTCTGCAGTCACCTTTGCATAGGCACATATCCTCAGTGTTATTTTTCTAGAAAAAGAGGTGCTGGAATTCACCTTGTTCTCTTAGAATGGCAATGGCACCCACCTGAGAGATGCCAGAACCCACCTCAGAGGTGCTGGAACTGAGTTCCAGTGAGTTCCGGCTGGGGGGGAAAGCCCAGCATACCCTTATCACCCCCCGTTTCCTTTTTCTTCCCTCCTCAATCTTTTTTCCACTCTCCTTTGCACAAAGACCACCCTTATTTTCATACCTCCTCCTCTCTCCTATTCTGCACCTCAAATATCTGTATAATGGCATTATGATACTGGCAGCTTTATTTTCAATTCCTTTCCTAATGATCCCTAGCATGGAATTTGTCTTTTCCATGGCCATAGCACACTAGGTCAACACAGGTCTCACCAAACTACAATTCCCATGGCTTTGTAGGGAAAGTTCTAGGTTCAATTTGTAGGTAGGGCTGGGGATGTTCCCTCCTTCAAAAACTGCTGAAATTCAGAAAAAAACTTGCCCTATGCAGGAGGGGAAAGGCATAAGCGGATCAAAAACATGCATTTTGAGGTACTGTACAAGATCACGGTTTTTTGGGGAGCAAAATCTTGTTGCCAAATCACAGCAACCAAAATGGCTGCCATGCTATCACACAAGAAAATGGGAAGTCTCATTTTATTCGGGACACTTGTGGGGTATGTTGCCCTTGTGTACTACAAGGCCTCATTCACACCAAGCATTTAAAGTACTACAATACCATTTTTAATAACCATGGCTTTCCCCAAGAATCCTGCCGAGTTTGTTGAGGGTTGTGAGGAGACCCCTATTTCCCTCACAAAGCTACAATTCTCAGGGTTCCCTGTGGAGATGGGATGATTGTTAAACTACTCTGAGAATTGTAGCTCTGTGAAGGCAATAGGGGCTTCTAACAACTCTCAGAATTCTTAACTGAAAACAACTCCCATAAGTCTTTATAGGAAGCCGTGACTGTTTAAAATGGTATGATACCGGTTTTAATGTATAGTCCTGATGTGACTTGGGGGTTCCTGTATTTATTTAGCCTATGGAAATAGTCTACATGTAAGCACTGCACCCAAAGTGGGACTAGATTGTATCCTAAGTATTTATTTATTTGTTAGGCTTGTATCTCATTTTGCTTAGAGCAGAAGTTTTTCTTATTATTATCACTGCAATTTCCTCAGGAGCATATTTGACAAATACATTCCAGATATTTCCCCCCTCTCCATTATTGACAGCATTTTTATTACTTGACTTATAAGTATAAGATATTATCTGCAACAAATGTCCTCTTTTGTGCTGCGATTAATTACTGAATAAAATGAAAAGCCACTGTTTAGGCCTGCGGACAACGTCATATTGCTTTGTGAGCCGTGAAGCGTGGAGCTGATATTCCAAATTACTGTTTATTATTCTGCGGAAGCAAAGTGTTATTTTATATTGCGTGGGAGCGTTCTGTCAGACCAGCGAACAGAACAAGCAATATCCCTGGGAGACGAAATTCATCCCACAGCCCAGAGATGTCAGTAATGAACAATGTCTTTTACATTTTAAAGGGCTCATCAAATGCAGAGAATGTCATTAGCTGCCAGCGAGAGCCTGAACAGAAAACATTTAGGTAAAACATGACATAGTGGCGGGATAATCAGGCTCACCCATCCATATTAAGCCACAAGGCTGGGGACTAAAGCCAATTTCATCTTATTGCTACTGATATAAACCAAATCAGCACAAATCCACATGGTTTGCCATCATGGGCTGTGAGACGAGATGCAAGGCAACACTGCACAAAACGGCCTACTTTGCAACTCCTTACTATCAGCTGTATCATACCCACCAAGTGTCCCGGGCGGGCAGGGAATGGGACACTCTGTTTTTTCACATGAGATCGTGGCAGCCATTTTGGGGGCCACAATCTGACATGTTCTCACTCTGAAAAAAACTGTGATCACACTCCCCCCCAAGTGCTTTTTTTGGGGGTGAGATGGTAACGTGGGGCACCTGACACACCTGGGAATGCATCCTGAAAGACGTGGATCCCAGTTTTTGACCTAGAAAATTTGGACAGTGTGCTGCAGAAGCCAGTCTTCCCCAAACTGCAGATGTATAGGGTGGCAGCTTCCCTCAGCCCCAACCAGAATGGCCAGTAGTCAAGAGTGGTGGGAATTCAGATCCAAAATATCCGCAGGGGCCCAGGTTCAGAGAAGCTGATACAAGCTGAAAGCTTTACTGGGCTCAGGAGTAGAATGGCACTCTGAGGTAGATGAGGAGGGGGAACACAAGGAGGCCATT